AGTCCAGCTCCAGGGGATCAGATTCTATTATAGCCTCCATGGTATCTGCACAACATGTGGCATATACTCACCCAGACACACACACACACACACACACACACACACACACACACACACACACACACACACACACGTCTGTATGTATTACCAAAATGTGTAGAATCCCCTTCATAAAGAGTGAGGGTCACCTTTCTAAACAAAACTACCAAGTCACATAAGTCATGAGGTTAACACTTTTCTCCAGTTGTGTAAACTGCATTATAGATATAGGCAAGCAAATGATTGTCTGGATGATGATATTTGTAATATCTGAAAATAATAAGGAGATTACAAAGAATTTCTGTAAATCAATTTTTAAAATACAGAACTTCCCTAGAGAAATATGGAAGAGACTAAGAAACATTAATGTTGCTGGAAAAAGAATGTTTAATGTTCAAAGTCATTACTAAACACAGGTATATAAATTAAAAGATTGTATTATGCCTTTCAGTTCTCAAGAAAGCAATAAGAGATGTTTATATGCATATATGTAGAAGTGAGAAAATGCAGTGTCAGAGCATGGACTGGAATATACAGTAAAGTTGAATAAAAACATTCTGCTTCAAGTCATATGTTGGGTTGAGTATCACAGACAACCCCAGGGAACATGTGTTCACTGCAGCAATGCTGTGGTAGAAAGAAGCCCATGGCAAGTATGACCATATCTGCAGTAAGAAAGAGCAAACTCATAGTTAATTCCTCATGGACCAGCATACTGCAGCTTCAATATAGGACCTACCTGTAGAAATGATAGCCATGATGGAGCTTTCAACACAAGTAGTCCTAAGTGAAAGAGGTTTTGAAAAAATGCATTAAATAGTATCATTTACTTGAAAAAGTGTGACCAACTCTGTTAAGATTTGAAATGGCTTGAACAGGTGAGTATATACAAGTTACAGCATAGCTATAAATAAGAGGCAAGAAAAGATTGGGCAATGAGAATAACTAAACTAAGAAACCATTTATGAGCATTACAATGTTTGGCCTCTGAATGCATGTGTGTTAATTATTTGTCTCTCTCTGGGTCATGGAAAATTTCTATTACAAAGATGCTTGACTTACTACTATTAGTATTTTTCCTTCTTCTTAAATTTATTCATCTTGTTATTGTTCCCTTTAGTAAAACTATCGTACATCTATCATAACCATTCTAAAATTCTATTTATGTTTTACTGATCAAGAATTGAAAAGTTCAGCATATCACCTCCACTCCCTAAAATCTTACCCTTCTCTCTAAAGGAAAGATTTCCAGAGAGGTTATCAGCATCACTTTCATATTGGGGTAAAAAAAAGGAAAAAGAAATGTTAGACTACTAAAAGAAATATATCCATTTTGTACAGAGATTTACTATTAATACACAAAAAGAAAGTCTCCTAAGTTTCAATTTGAGTGTTGTAGATGCCTTCAGTCAACAACTTTTTGGTTTATTGTTTGTTTTGATTCAGGGGCTCACTATATAGCTCAAGGCTGGCTTCAACCTCATTTTATAGCCCAGACATGAAATATACTCAACAATATTCTTGTAAAACAAATCAATCCAGTGTTCAGTCCCTAACAGCATTTTGATATTTACTTACTCAGCTTTTCATTGGATACTGGTTACTTTACAATCACAATATTAATGGCAGTCAATCTTTCTGTGTTACTTATAAATTACCAAGACTTCCAAGTTGGTATAAACTCGTAGGAGTGATTCCATAAGGACAGGTTTACCCAAGACTTGTCACTCACTGACAGCTGCTTGGAATTTTGAGTTTCATGTCGGTGTACTGCCCTCCATTTGCATATCTCAAATTACATACCAGTAAATCTGCTACATTACCCTGGACTTGGCCTTGATATAAACAGTAATGTGTCTGTCTCCTAAGTGTAGCTAGAGTTTTCCTGCCTTGCCCACAGTCAGGACAAATCTCTGTCACCCACCAGTTCCACAGCTGCTCAGACCCAACCAAGTAAACACAGAGACTTATATTGCTTACAAACTGTATGGCTGTGGCAGGCTTCTTGCTAACTGTTCTTATAGCTTAAATTAATCCATTTCTATAAATCTATACCTTGCCACGTGCTCGTGGCTTACCGGCGTCTTCACATGCTGCTTGTCATGGCGGTGGCTGGCAGTGTCTCTCTCAGCCTTCCGCTTCCCAGAATTCTCCTCTCTCCTTGTCCTGCTTATACTTCCTGCCTGGCCACTGGCCAATCAGTGTTTTATTTATACAGAACGATATCCACAGCACCTAAGTCTGAAATTTCCCACCCCTCTGGGTCCAATCTGGAGACACAAATAGCACAGCAGTTTAATCAAACAAATTCAATATGAAATTATCCATCTGTAGCAAAAAGGAAACTAAAATTTATCAGAATCTCTGGGTTTGGAGGAATCCTCAAAGAAGGAAAACTAGACAAGAACGATACTCGCTGACGAATTTAGCAACTGCTGTACTGTGCCAAAGAGTAGGGCATTGTGCCCTTAACAGGAAAATGTAGTTACCATCTTAAGTGCTTCTTCACCTAAGGGGAAAAAATGCAAAACAGAACATGAAAAAGTCTTGAAAGGTGATGGACGTGTTTATGGCTGAGTTTATGAGCATGATTTCAGAGGTACAAGGATGTATTCAAATTGACAAATTATATACATTACATACGGGCAGCTTTGGTACATTAATTATACCTCTTAGAAACCACAAAATATTCTCATTCTTCAGTCAAGGGGGAGCAAGCGCAGGACTGTCACTGAGGGTGCTATCAACCAAGAATGGAGGAGTGAGGCGGAGAGAAGCCCGGACCCACAGGCGAGTCCCTGAAAGTGGAGACTGAGCAGGATATAGACGGTGTCTGGCTTTCGGAAGGTCAGCGCGGCCAATTGTCGGCCTTAATTTCTGATCAACCAGAGTCCTATTTACGAAGTTGTTACAGGTGCCTGTGCACGGTAGTGCACTCCTCCCTGCCCTTCTCACAGCTGTGGAGTTTCACGCTTTGCACTGATGTCTTTGATCCTCTTGGAGCTGGTTCTTGTGCAGGGTGAGAGTTACAGTTCTAGATTCATTCTTCTTTAAGCCACTGCCTAGTTTTTCCGGAACTATTTGTTAAAGATGCTGTCTTCTCTCCAGTGTATAATTTTGAAGTGTTTGTCAAAATTAAGGTGGCTGTAACAGCACACACTTAGAGCTGGGTCTTCTGTTATGTCTCATTGATCTACATTTCTGTTTTTCTGCTAGTACCATGGTTGTGGGTTTGGGTTTTTTTGTTTGTTTGGTTTTTGTTCAAGTATAACTTGCGATCAGGTATGATAATGCCTTATTCTTTTTGATTCAGATCATTTTGGCTGTCTTTATCATCCCATATGATTTTTAACGATATTTTTCTACTTTTATGGAATCAAAAGGCTTTTGTTTATAAAAGGATGCAGTCATTAGAATGAAGAGAAAGCCTATAGAATGGGAGAAAAGTCATGGTAAACTATACATCCAACAGAGGATTAATATCCAGAATGTACAAAGAACTCAAAGACCAATGTATTAAGAAAAATAAAGAAATTCAATTTAATATGACCATAAATTTCACAAAAAGTAAGTACAAGTACCATATAAACATTTTTTAAGTGTAAAAATCATTGGTCATCAGGGAAATCAAAATAAAATTACTTTGAGATTGCCTCTCATCTCAGTCTTAATGACTGACCTGTGGTGTATACTGTGTGCCCTAGTAAAGTTTGCCTTGAGGACCAGAGGACAGAGCCAGCCACTAGACTGGGCATAGAGGTCAGGCAGTGGTGGCATACACCTTTAATCCTATCACTCGGGAAGCAGAGGTCTGTCTGGATCTCTGCGAGTTCAAGACCACATTGGAAAAAGAGCCAGTGGTGGTACACACCTTTAATCCCAGTACTGGGGAGCATATACTCCTTTAATCCCAGGAAGTGATGTCTGGGTAGAGAAAGGTATATAAGGCATGAGGAAACAGGAATTTACTCTCTTGAGGCTGAGGATTTTGTAGAGTTAAGCTAGTGGCTGGCTGTTCTGCTTCTCTGATCTTTCAGCTTTCACCCCAATATCTGGCTCTGGGTTTTCTATTAATAAGACCTTTTAAGATTCCTGTTACACTGTTCATAATAAAAAAAAAATCAACTGACAACAATAACTGGAGTGAATGTGGAGAAAGAGGAAACTTTGTTCACTGTTGGCAAGAGTATAAGCCAGTACAGTCTTTATAGAGAGATTGTTGTGGGTGTGGAGGTTTTAAGAAGTAAATTACACTATAACACAGCTATACCACTCCTGGGCATATATCCAAAGGACTCTACATCCTACTGATACATACTTGCTCAACTCTTTAAAGTTGTGTGTTTAACTTAGGGTACCTAGAACCACCTGGAAATTAGAAAGAGATTATCATACAACCAATGCCCTAAGGGAAGGAAAGTTGAGGTGGGGAACTCTTGGGCTATTTAGGTAAGAATAGTGTGGATGACTTGGGAACATATGGGGACACTTTATTAATAAAATCACCTGCCAACCCTACAAGATTTATCTCATGTAATTCAAAGCACAATATATTTCAGTTATTTAATTTCAATACTCTATTAATTAATGATCACAATTACATAAAGGAGTCTATACTTATTAGTAAATAATTTATTTTATTCAGAAACTGGAATTTTTTTCACATTCATATATTCCAACTGGACATTTCTTCTGTGCCTCTGAAGACAGCTGCAGCACAGGCTCAAAGAGATGATTGTGGGGGTTTACACTTCAAAACCCAGTAAAATCAAATACATCTTCCATGATGTGCTGAAAGTATTCAGGCTATACCAGGAGTAAACACATATTGTGAGATGTTCCCAGGTATTAGCACACAGCTGTCAGTCATTCCTTGAGCTCACAGTGAATAGATGGAGGTTCCAGTTGGACTTTCTCTTGCAGTACTTGTTCCCAAGGTGAAGGAAGAATTGCCCTGGAGACTAGCAGCAAGAAGAGTGGCATTTTCTGTAGCAAAGAGGTCTGTAGCTACAGCAGCCAGAGCTGTATCCACAGCCATACCTGGAACCATATCCACAGCCATACCGGGAACCATATCCACAGTCAGAGCCATATCCACAGCCATACCTGGAACCAGAGCCATATCCACAGCTGTACCTGGAGCCATATCCACATCCAGAGCCATATCCACATCCAGAGCCTGGGCCAAATCCACAGCCATAACTGGAACCATACCCACAGCCATAGCCTGAGCCATACCCACAGCCATAGCCTGAGCCATATCCACAGCCGTAGCCAGAGCCACAGCCAGAGCTGTAGCCACAGCCTCCACAGGAGTTTCTGTAATAGTTGCAACACATGGTGTTGAGAGATTTAAGTTTCAGTTGAGAGGTCAGATATTTCTGAAGTGAAGCTACCATCCAGTCTCTTCAGACCTTTATATACTTACAGGACTGGATGGCTCATGCCATCACATGGGCTCCTCTCTCTTTTTACAGCCATGTTCCTGAAGTGAACTCATCCCCTGAACAGTCATGTTAGGAATTCACAATTTACTTCTCAGGAACTCACACAAACATTTAAAGAAATAGATATATTTTCTGAACACTCAAACTTATGCATCATAATCTATTCTCCATAAAGTCATTTTACGACCATGACATAACAGAAAACATCACTAGCATATGTGGAACCTGTGAAGATGTGTTTTTCACTATATTATTGAAGTCCTTGTTATCACATGCTGTATACTTAGAGTTAAGAGCATCACCAACAGTAACAGCTGAGCTTCACTCTGTGCCTTGTTCTCCTTTCCTCGTGATTCATTCTCCCCATCAACAAATCTCTAAATTCCTTTTCATGGTTTCTGGACAAAGAAGTATATTTTAACTTGCTACAACCACTTTTTAAGCTTCCTCCTTCCCTCTTATGGAAGTCTCATCTGTCTTTCCTTCTGTAGGTGGGTTATGTATTTCTCTCTTTCTCTTTCAAAACATGTTATTAAATTCCTATGCATCAGCCTCTGCGTATAATTATCTCATGCAATTTAAAGGTGAATGGATCCAAAAATTTCCATGTGGAGAGTTGAAAATGTTTTGTTTCAGTAAGTTACTTGTTCAGTTTTTAGACAAATTGGGTGGAAAAAAATTTTAAGCAGGTCAATTTTTGTGAGATTACTCAATCTACACTTAGATTTGGTCAGTGTTTCCATGCTTCCTTATACACTGTGATTAATATATAAGAATTATTCTGGATGAGTGGAGTGCATATGTAAATGACATCTCAATCAAATGGTATGGAAATATAACTAGAAGCAGAATGACTTAGTATCTTGTTGCCTGGAGTGGTTATTATAGCAAATAACCATGCTGTGTGCTTCGAGGCATCTATAAAAGGTGGTTTTGGCCAAGGGGGCAGAACCATGTTTATTAAATATGCATATGATCTAGTCTCCATAAATGGGCATAACTTATAGGAGATCTCTACTCTTATCTAAAAACCATGTGCTTAAAATTATCTTTTTCTCCCACTATTTCTATAGTGATGGGTTTCCACAAATTACTTCTCTCTCATTCTTAGCAATCTTGAACATTCCCGTGTTGGCCGTCACTGGAGGATCTTCACCTTGAACCTTTTGCACTCCTTTGCACACTGTAAATGTGTACTACCCCTGGCTCAGCTGCCATATGCACACAATCAGACCTCAGTATAAAAATCTTTGAATTATTCTAAGTCTAATCAGTAGTTGTAAGTCACATATGAGACAGTAACAGACAATTCAACACAAAATCATTATTCCATGAAAGATAAGAATTTAAATGTATTATGACTATGGTCATCTAAGAAAGTCTAGCAAATGCTTACAGGATTAAACTTTATGAAAGGCATCGTTCCCATTTAATAAATGGACTGAAATCCATGCTACAGTCCACAATAGTGTACTTGGCACTTTGAAATCCATGAGAAGCAGCTATCATGTTTAATATTCCTGTCATGATTTTTAAAAAAAGCAGAATAAGGAAATTTGACAGGGATTAATATGTTTGATTAATTGCACATGACAGACTTGCATGTGCAAGCATGGCTCTAAAGTCAGGAATTTATATGCATTACATTCACACACTTTATATGAGTGATGTCTCAATAAGGCTGATGAACAAATACGCAAACAAACACGCCTTACTGTGCAGTCATTAGAAAAGTGGGACTAACCTCCCAGGAACATAGTGACGATCAGCAGTGCATTTTGGAAACAGGCATGGGATCATAAAAGGCTTCATAAATGACAGCCTATGATGAAGGAAGAGAGGACAAATGATAATGTCATCTGGTTCCAAGTATATGGCTAGGGGACTACCCATATAACAAAAGCAAAAACAGAAGACATGGTGGTACAAAGGCCTAACCCAGTAAGGGGGAACTAGAGAGAGGGGGATCCCTGGAGCTCACAAGTCTAACCCCAGGCCAGTGAGATGACCCTATCCCCCCAAAAGGGAATGTCACTAAAAGCTGTCTTCTCCTTTCTACATGTAGCCAACAGATGTGCACATGTTATACGCACGGCGGGGGGAGATAATGAATAATACAGTCCCTTTCCTTCTGTTCTGATATCTTACTTTTCTTTTCCTAGGCCATGCAACTCAGTCACCTGTTACATTACTATAGTGAACAGACATGGCAGGAATGGGCATCCTTTAGGAAGGGCTTCAGATTTTCCCTATTGAGTATAATGTTAGCATCAGACACGGTATGTACACTTTAACGTGTTCAGGTAAACTGATTACAGATCAAAATAGTTGAGGGTTTTTTTATTGTAGACTGTGACAAGTATTTCTAACTGTCTTTTCTACATCTGGTACTATTATTATGTGAGTTTTGCCTTTCATTGTGTTAATATGGTGTGTCCTGTTGTTTATTCAAGTGTAGCAAACCATCCTTCCATAACAGGACAAATTTCACTTGTTCATGGGAAATGCTTCTCATGATGCCTTATGGATTTTGGTTTGCTAACTGTAGAAGATTTCCACATCTGTGTGCATCAAAAACGCTAGCCTCTTATCTTGTTTGCTTACCATACTCTATCTTCCTTTGGTTATAAAAACAAAAAACAACAACAACAAAACCACTGGACTCATTAAACAAATAACAAATATGGCAGTGTCCCCTACTCTTCAATTTTCTGGAAATGTTATAAATGATTTTACTTTAGACCTTTAAATATTTGATAAGGAAAAGTGACAGTTGAGTGATCAGCCCTCAATGAGACATCTGTATCACTCCTCTTAAATGCCCAGGAAGCATAATCACAAAAGAGGGTGAGAAAATATTGTAGGTTCCAGAGAATGGAAAGGGTCACTACAGATACTGTCTTCTGCATATATCCTATTGTGCCTGATTAATATATCTTGCCTGCTCTGATTTTGGGATATACTAACGGTAATTATTATGTATTTCTATTAACGTATCCCCATATCATAATATGCAACGTTCTTCCTTCTGTTTTAGACTTCCGTCTATTTCTCATGATAATCTCATCTCACTTGCTATTGTTTGCAACCTGCATAAATTCACTTTTAATAGATTATGTTGTCAATTGTGAAGTGAGTTTCTGTTGGGCAGCAAAGAGTTGAGTGTTGCCTTATTACTGAGTTAAGCATTGAGTGTTAGTGATCAGATAATGCTAATCATTTTGATCGAAGCTATGGCTTTGGACATACTGCTGCTATTACTTAGATTATGTAATTATTAATGGAAACCTATAAATGATGGAGGTAGGTTGTTTCAAAGTTCATCACAAATGTAATATTATTCCTCATAAATCCACAAACAACTGGGCATCATTTTCCCTTGATTTGCTGACCACATAGTCCTTACTCTATTCTTTAGAATGTGTTTTTCATTTATTCTTCCCTTACAGAATCTAGAAGTCGTTGAGAAGGATTAATTAACTGAGCATGCATTATCAGTGTGAAAAGTTACTCAGTCTAACAACAAGTAGAGATCCCAACACTTGAATAACTTCATGACAAGACCTGAAGGGAAGCTCTTCTGTTTTTATACCCCTCTAAACATTTCAGAAACTTCTCATGTTGTGAAAAGTATTTTGCATTAAATTCTAACAGTTAATGTAATTCTTTTCAGTGGTAATTAATTCCACATCATACACAAAAAGTAAATTTTTAATATGCATAAATATGCAAAATATTCATAAGATAAATAATATGCATAAAATGAAGAGGGATTAATATGCAGTTAGAGACAAATGTGGAAACATACTAGTAACACAGAGTCATCACATAAAAGAGGAACGGCCAGACAATTAAAATAATTTGCTGACCAGCAGATGATACAGAGAAAACCTTCTCAGCATAGATAGATATGAAACTGAAATTAAATATAAAAAGGAAGCTTCTTGGAGGTTAATGATCCAAATGTGAAACATAAATATTTTAACAAATGAGTAAAATGTAGAATTTTTTGGCTTTTTCACTTGTTTTCATAAAATATTTTTATCTTTTCCTCTCCTCCAACTTCTCCAAGAATCATCCCCACCTTTCTACCCACACAACCTTTTCCTCTCTTTTCTTTAAAAGAAAAGAAACACAAAAAAATTCCAGCAAACCAGATACTATAAAATATACAAGCAAAATACCAAACCCTCCCTTCCCCCCCAAAAAAAGCAAGACAAAAATAAAATAAGTTCACTTTGTGTTGGTGAAATACTTCTGGGTATTGGCCCTATTCTGAAGCGTAGATAATACATACAGTGAGACTCCATTGGAGAAAACTAATTTTTCCTTTGCTGCTGGGTATCTATTTTAGATAGCTTCTTGGTTAAGAACGGGATCTTGTGTCCACTTCCTTTTCTCAGTACTGGAATCGCATCTGGTTGGAACCAGTACAGGCTTGTGTGTGCTGCCAGTCTCTGTTAGTTCACATGTGCATCAGTCCTATGGAGTCTGGAAGACATGGTTTCCTTGGAGCCATCCATCCATCACCTCTGGCTTTTATGATCTTTGTGCCTCCTTTTCCACATGGGTCCATGAGCCTTGAGGGGATACAGACCTCCCATTTAGGGCTGAAGGTTTCAAAGTCTTTCACTCTCTGAACATTTCTAGCAGTTCTGTAGTAAGAGCAAAAGAGGGTAGATTTTTATGACTCCTTATGATTATGGAATGGCAAATTTCTGTGTCTGTGACACGTGGAGAACCATGAAGCAAATAGGAATAACAAATATAGATAAGTACAAGACATAATTGTCTTTATCATAAACCCCTCCTATTTACAAATGTCTATACCCAAATGGGCACGTGGTAGCAAAGATGAATCTTTCAAGACAAAGCATGCATAATGATAAAAAAGATTTTTTTCAAAGATAACCAATATGCTTTCATCACCTGAAATGCACAGAGGAGATTAAAATGTCCCTTACCTACTAGTATTAATATATTTTGCATTGTTCAATATTTATATACACAAAATAAGATGTCATACAAACAGGATTCATATACAGACAGAGAACTCATTGCATTCCAAATAATCCTAGCACACATAGTGTGAAGCCAATGTTTTTCTTTGTTGCTAATATTTTTCTGCACATCATAGATTTTTGCAGTGTAGAATTTTCCAGTGGGCAACAAACGAACCCTTTCACATTTGGAGGCTTCCAGGTTTCATACTTGCATAGTAGGTATATGCAACTTATAGAATGATCATTTCTCTGGGGACTTTCTGACGGGTGTTGAAATGTGATAGAATAAATTGTAAGACGGTTGTGAATGGCTGATGGGGAAAAAACCAGAAATCAAAACAAAACTGCAAGAAAAACAGTGACATTTGAAAGGGCGCAAAAAGCCCGTGGGAACAATAATCTAATGGGAAAGGGGTGGTTTATTCAGCTCACTCTTCTACCCTGTATGTGACACAAGTGTGTGCCTGCACAGTTGGAATTCCTATCAGTCACCTGTCCACTACTTAAACTTTTGTTCACTTAGATCTTTGTTCTTCTCCCCAGAACCCCAAATCTATTAGATTTCAGAACACGCTGGGTGGTTGACATGGTAGCTGCTCACAGACCTCCTCTGCTCAGCCGCCTTTAACTATGAGTGACCACAGGAGCGTGCATTAAGCAAACAGAGATGAGCAGAAAGGAGGCAGTTCCTTTCCCAAAAATGTAAACCAAGGTTCTCAGTAAGCTTTGATTGCCCTCACCATCCACCATCCTTATTTTCATGCCTAGATCATGAGCAAAATGTGGGTCTCATTCATCATCCTCTTTGAAACATGAACATAAAAGTAATATAGCAACAGCAGGAAGAAAGATACTAGTCCTTTCCAATGATGTGGGTTCTGGCATATTTTATGCACTCTAAGACTTCTTATTTCACATATTTCAAAAGTGTTAGTTTTCAATTAATAGTTTTCAAGTATATAATAATTAAAGATAATGCTGACAGAATTCATGGCAAACAAATTATTTTATTCAGAAACTGGCATTTCCCCCACATTTGTATATTCCAATTGTACATTTCTTCCATGCTTGTGAAGACAGCTGCATCACTGGCTCAAAAAGATAGTTATAGTCCAAAACCCAGGAAAATAAAATCCATCTTGGCGATGAGCCAGACTATTCAGTTTATATCAGGAGCAACCACGTGCTGTGAGATGTTTTCAGCTGCCCGGCACACAGTTCTCAGTCATTCCTTGGGCTTGCAGGGGATGGATGGTGATTCTAGTTCAGCTTGCTCTTACATTGCTCATTCCCAGAGTGAAGGAGGAATTGTGGTTGGAACTAGCAGCATGAAGAACGGCATTTTCTGTAGCTGCAGCAGCCAGAGCCATATCCATAGCCAAACCTGGAACCATAACCACACCCAGAGCCATATCCACAGCCAGAGCCAGAGCCGTATCCACAGCCATAGCCAGAGCCAGAGCCACAGCCATAACTGGAACCAGACCCACAACTAGAGCCATATCCACAGCCATACCTAGAACCATATCCACACCCATAGCCAGAGCCGTATCCACAGCCATAGCCAGAGCCGTATCCACAGCCATAGCCAGAGCCATATCCACAGCCATAGCCAGAGCCATATCCACAGCCATAGCCTGAGCCATATCCACAGCCATAGCCATATCTTGATCCATATCCACAGCCAGAGCTGTATCCACAGCCTCCACAGGAGTTTCCGTAGTAGTTGCAGCACATGGTGTTGAGAGGTGAGGTTTCAGTTGAGAAGCAGAGGGATGTTTCTGAAGTGTGAATGTCATCCAGTCTCCCCAGACTTTTATACCCTACAGATTGATGGCTCATGCCTCACATGGGCTCCGCTCTCTCATTTTACAACCATGTTTCCAGAATGAATTCATTCTCTGGAAGTTTTGTTAGGAATTCACAATTTACTTACTACTACCATAGGAACTCAAACAAGCATGCAAATAATAATAATAATAATACATTTTCTGAACAGCAAAGCTTAGGAAACTATAACTTATCCTCTATAAAGTTGATTCATGACCATGACACAACATAACACATCGCCAAATATGTATGACCAATTAGCATGTGTTTGTGATTGTGTTTTTCAAGGTCTTTGGAAATATCAACTGTATAACCTCATTAATGGTAAGGAGTGTCATTAACTATCCCCATTAACTGCTGTTGAGGAAGAATCATTGCACCAACTTAGTTTTCACCATGCAAATCAGTCCAAATTAGCTTTCATAGAGTTTTGACAAAGACTTGAGTTTTGAACCTACATCTCCACTGTAAGTTCCTTTTGAAGAAAGACTTACTAACTCCGTCCTTCCCTGAATGAACTCTTTCTATTAAGTCCCTCATGCGTCAGTTACAAAATGAGACTTAGTCTTATCATCCACTGAGAAATATTTCCAATGGTTACCACCTAAAAGTTTGAAAATGTCTTAGCTCCATTTTTTTTTATTGTTGTGCTTCACTTAAATCAAATTCTTAAACATTCGTCAATCTTGGCAATTACTCAAAGTGCACTCATACTAATTCAGTATATAAATAAATATAATTACTTTTCTCTAAAATATAAGGAGCCAACAGTGACTACTTCCATATGGGTGGAGTAGATGGGTAAATGAAAGATTCTGATCAAAGGGTATGTTCTAAGAGACTAAGTAGGTAAGGGACACAGCTCAACACAATAAAACCAATTTACAGCAATCCCACAGCCACCATCATTCTGAACAGAGAGAAACTCAAAGCATTCCCACTAAAACCAGGAACAAGACAATGATGTCTATACCTGTTCAATATAATACTGGAAGTCTTAGCTACAGCAATATGACAACTGAAAAAGGCCAGATAGAGACTAATAAAAAAGGAAGAAGTCAAATTATCCTCATTTGCAGACGATATGATTTTATACATGTGGAACTCCAAAGACCTCACCAGAAAATTTCTACAGCTGACGAATTGTTTCAGCAAAGCAGCAGGATATGAAATTGACAAACAAAAGTCAATAGTCTTTCTATATACAAATGACAAACATACTGAGGAAGAAATCAGACAAACAGTACTTTTCACAATTTATCAGTAACTATCAAAGCAAGTGAAAGAACTGTATAGTAAAGACTTAAGACATTTAAAAAGAAATAGAAGAAGACAACAGAGCATGGATAAACTTCCCATGCTCATGGATCAGTGGGATAAATACTGGAGTTCTAAGTAAAAGGAGCATTATTTAGAGCCCTATTGCACAGCACATGCTGACCATGGTAAATAACCATGAATCATATTTACAGATATTTCTGGAAGAATTGATTTCAAGCGTTTTCAGATTAAATACTAAAATATATATATGGAACATTGTTCATGTGAACCTTCTTGGTTGAACCATTCCATCGAATTCCCCTGGTCCTACTCTCATTTCTCTGCTCCAAAATACCATTTCAGTAGGATATTTAATGCCACTGCTTTGATAGGTTTCTGCAGATGTGATATGTGTGGGTGGTTGACTTTTCTAGGATTCTATTCTCATCTTTACCTTTAATTTCATGCTATCTTCATCAACTGATTCCATGATAAGGGTTTCTACTGAATGTTTCTTATGAGTATTCTTTAAATGTTTCTGCCCTGGGAGTCACGCTGGGCTGGGATCAGTATGCACCTTTACATCTTTCATTACACAACAGGAAATTTTGTGTCTTAACACTGATTCAACTACTATAGATGCAGAAGTGACCTGTAAGCTGAAGATCTTCTAATCAACAAGAGACCAGCCATATAGAAGTTCAGATTTAGTATTTAAAAAAAACTCCCAGACCATGAAACCCCACAACTATGATACATGTGAGACTCAATGCTGTGGATATCGCTCTGTATAAATAAAATGTTGATTGGCCAGTAGCCAGGCAGGAAGTACAGGCGGGACAAGCAGAGAAGAGAATTCTGGGAACAGGAAGGCTGAGTCAGGAGACCCTGCCAGCCGCTGCCATGAGTACCAACATGTAAGATACTGGCAAGCCACGAGCCATGTGGCAAGGTATAAATTTATAGAAATGGGTTAACTTAAGATACAAGAACAGTTAGCAAGAAGCCTTCCATGGCCATACAGTTTATTGTAAGTCTCTGTGTGTTTACTTGGTTGGGTCTGAGCAGCTGCGGGACTCGCAGGTGACAGAGATTTGTCATGACCGTGGGGCCAGGCAGGACCACGAAAATTCTAGCTACAACTCAATATGAAACTTTTGTTCTCTGAAAATGTTCAAGGGATCTTAAACAGGGTACTGAACCTGTTGTATAAATATTTCAGGGAGGTATTGTAATACAGTTATCAAGATTCTATTATGAACCTAAAATTAACAACAACAAAAAAGAAGAGTAGCTATCACATTACAGGTTGCCATCACAAGCTTGTCAGAAGCTTGTCAGTTCTCTCCTCCTCAAGTTGTAATTTCTTTATTACAAGTCTTTGTGTTAAAATCCCCTAAGTTTGTTCTATTTAAAAATTCACCGTTTATAATGATCAGATAAGTAGTCACAGTGGACTCTGTTTACAGGGAGGATCTTTACCCATCCAATAACTTCATTGTTGGAGTATAATTAAACTCATTTCCTAAAACCAACTCTATAAGCTTAGTCAGAGCACTCTTGTGTCCATGCTGAGACCAGAGCTCCTCAGAGAAATAGTAACAATCAGTATTTACTTTAGATGAGGATGGTGGTTGAAAGAAGGAAAGTTTTAATGAAAACATACAAATTTTCAATTAGTTATGATGGACAAACTTTAATGCCTTGCCAAAAAGAATGGTGCTTATATAAGAATGTTTCTCATCATTGCCAAAAGGTGGGCTTTAGGGGTCTGAAAAGATGGTTCAGCAGTTAATAAACCTACTGCTCTTACAGAGGACCTGAATTTAACTCCTAGTACTCATATACGGTGGCTCACAACCATCTGTATAACTCTAGCTCCAGGGGATCAGACCCTCTTCTAGCCTTGATGAGCACTGCAAATACCATGAGCACACTTGCAAATGTGCACACACACACACACACACACACACACACACACACACCCCTCAAATAAAATAATTTTAAAGTAGGTTTTAATTTTTTTTTTTTTTTTTTTTGGTTTTTCAAGACAGGGTTTCTCTGTGTAGCTTTGCGCCTTTCCTGGAACTCACTTGGTAGCCCAGGCTGGCCTCGAACTCATAGAGATCCGCCTGGCTCTGCCTCCCAAGTGCTAGAATTAAAGGCGTGCACCACCACTGCCTGGCTAGGTTTTAATTTTTTTTCACCACCGAAATAAATATGTGAGTTCACAAATGTCAAGTCATGAGATCCTGTCATTGCACACCATTTCTCAATCCTCTTTTGTGTCCTCGTCAAAATAATATCCACCAAATATATTTACCCACAATAATTTTGCACATTCTTGTATTAAAAATCAAACAAAAACATGAAACTTTTGGAATTAATGAGTGTGTTGGCACTTTGGTTGTCTTGATGAATCTGTGGATGTAGTCATTTATCCAAACCTCCAAAATTAAATATGTTAAATAAGTGTGATTCTGTAATGAGTCTTTCTCTGTCCTGCCAGCCAGCTTCCAAATAATAACATGGAGACTTATTTATTATGAAAGCCTGGCCTTAGCCTTGCCTATTCCCACTAGCTCCTATAACTTAAATTTACCCATTTATATTAATCTATGTTTCGCCTCCTGGCTTTTTAATTACTTTCATTCTGTGTGTCCAACTCCCTCCATGTCTCATTGGTGTCTGACATGCACCTAGATTCATCTCCTCCTTCCTTTCTCTCTGCCGAAGTCCCACCTATACCTCCTGCCTACCTATTGGCCATTCAGCTTTTTATCAAACCAATCACAGTAATATGTCCTCACACTGTGTACAAATATCTCACAATATGATTCTTTATATCAATTATACTTTCATAAGCCTGGCAAATTAATAACCCAACAAATACACAAAAAAATACCTTTTTATGCAGTTACTGAAGAAGAAAGACCTTCTTCTACAGCACAGATGGTGAGTGAGTGATCATCAGATAGTGCTGTCTCTGCCTGGAGGGCTGGGAAAGTGGATCACAGAAAGACTAAGTGGAGAGAAGGGATAGAAGACAGAGGGCATGTAGATTCTTGAGTGGGCAATAACCAACTTGTAGTGTTCCATACATGACAAGTACTCTCTGTAGTAGTTTATGTATCAGTAGTGGAGATAGATAAGATTGCTCTCAGTCAATAGGTCCAGAACATAAAGGAAAAACTATAACAATTTTTAATTTGCTGCATCAGTTTCAAATACACCCCTTGATATATGAACTTTGAGCATTTATCTTTTTTTGTTTTGGTTTGGTTTTTTGTTTTTGTTTTTTGAGACAGGGTTTCTCTGTGTAGCTTTGTGCCTTTCCTGGAACTCACTCTGTAGCCCAGGCTGGCCTCGAACTCACAGAGATCTGCCTGCCTCTGCCTTTCTAGTGCTGGGATTAAAGGCTTGCGCCACCACCACCTGGCAAGCATTTATCTTTAATTATGAATGCAGGCTTAAGCTTTCTCAAGAGAGGTTGCATACACACACTGAAGGAAGTATTGATATTCCTTCAATAATATAGAGATAATGAAGGGAAGAAGATATTGTTGGACAAGTATGTATGAGGAAATCTTTGGGAGTCTGAGATTCAGAAAGTTCTACCTGTTGGGTCTATTGTGACTGCTGTATCT